GGCTCAGTGGTTTAGAGCATTGCCTGCTCTTCCAAAGGTCCTGAGTTCAATTCCCGGCAACCACATGGTGGCTCACAACCATCTGTAATGAGGTCTGGTGCCCTCTTCTAGCCTGCAGACATACACACAGACAGAATATTGTATACATAATAATAAATAAATAAATATTTTTAAAAAATTAATGTTTAAAAAAAGCCGGCCGTGGTGGCACACGGCTTTAATCCCAGCACTTGGGAGGAGGATCTCTGAGTTCCAGCCTGGTCTACGAGTTCCAGAACAACAAGGGCTACACAGAGAAGCCCTGTCTCCAAAAACAAACAAACAAACAAACAGTTGAAGAAATTTTAAAAAGATACACTACATCAGCCTCCCAGCACAGAAATAATAGATGTTAACCCAAGATCTCCTTCCTTGTCCTCCACTTTGGCCGAGCACCCTACTCTTTCACCCAAGCTCTCTCCTCCTCCAGGAAGCCTTCCGGTGCATTTCCCGGTTGCTGCCTTGTCTTTCCCCAGTGTGCTGATGCCAGAGTCCCTTCCTTTCCTTCTAAGTTCTCAAGTTTCTACTTTTTTGTTTTGTTTTGTTTATCATGAAAAGGTTTCTCTGTGTAGCCCTGGCTGTCCCAGAATTGTCCTGGAACTGGCACTGTAGACCAGGCTATCCTTAAACTCACAAGAATCTGCCCCCTACTGCCTCCCAAGTGCTGGGATTAAAGGTGTGTGTCACCACCACCCGGTTCAGTTTCATTCTTAAAAGACTTATTTTGTGCCAGGCCATGGTGGCACACGCCTTTAATCCCAGCACGCGGGAGGCAGAGACAGGCGGATCTCTGTGAGTTCGAGACCAGCCTGGTCTACAGAGTGAGTTCCATGACATCCAGGACTGTTACACAAAGAGACCCTGACTCGAAAAACAAAAACAAACAAACAAAGACTTATCGTGTGTGTACATGGATGCACATGGGATGCCCACACCTGTGAGCAAGCACAGACTCCAGAAGAGAGGGCCAAGCGTACCCCTCTCTCACTCTCCACCATTGCCTTTGAGGCAGGGCCTCTCCCTGGATCTGGCACTCATATATTCTAGGCTCTTAACCATTTTCCAGCCCATTTTCTTAATGAATTTACTTTTCTATTTCTTTTTTTTTTAATATTTATTTATTTATTATGCATACAATATTCTGTCTGTGTGTACGTCTGCAGGCCAGAAGAGGGCACCAGACCTCATTACAGATGGTTGTGAGCCACCATGTGGTTGCCGGGAATTGAATTCAGGACCTCTGGAAGAGCAGACACTGCTCTTAACCACTGAGCCATCTCTCCAGCCCCCTTACTTTTCTATTTCCAACCAGACTACAAGGTGCTCAATCCCTGACCTGCCTCACAGTAGCTTAACCAGAGGGGCTTTTCCCTTGCTAGGTTGCACAGGACTCTGGGAAAGGACGAATATCTAGAGGCAGAGAACTACGGAGGAGTCAGAACTCTACTCTAAACTTCTACCAAGACATCCAGTTCTCCAGGCCTCCGATTCCCCATCTGGAAAAGATGTATTGAAATGCCTACCCCGTGACAGGCAAGATAGTTCGGTGGGTAAAGGTGCTTGCCACCAAGCCTGACAGCCTGAGTCTGACACCTAGGAGTCCCACAAGCGGTCTTCTGGTTGCCACAAACACACAGTGACAAGCGCACGCCCCCTCCTGGTAAGTAAATAAGCAGGAACTACATTTTTATTTTTAAATTTTATGTGTATGGGTGTTTTTGCTTGCATATATATTTGGGTACCATGTGTGTGCCTGGTACCTTCAGAAGCCAGAAGAGGGTTTAGAGGGTTTAGATGCCCTGAAACTGGAGGTAAGGACTGTTGTGAGTCACCATGTGAGTGCTGGGAATCGAACTTCGGTATTCTGGAAGAGCAACGGTGTTCTTAATCGCTGAGCCATCTCCCCAGACTGATATGTATATGTATATGTATGTATGTATGTATATATATATATATATATATATATATATATAAATGTAAAGAAAAGTCTGCTGTAATTGCTAGGAAGGACAAATGAGCCCACATATGTGAAAGGCCTTTTGTTATGAACTAAATAAAAAGCACTGAACATATTTTTCCCTTTTTTCTCCTTTTGAGACAGGGTTTCTCTGCATTACAGCCCTGGCTGTCCTGGAACTCCTTTTGTGGACCAGGCTAACCTCAAATGCACAGATCCACCTGCCTCTGCCTCCTGAGTGCTGGGATTAAAGGCATGTGCCACCATTCCCAGCTTATTTTGTTTTGTTTTTTAGACAGTTCCTCTAAACTGTCCTGTAGTTTAGTTCCTACAGTTTAGTGTGTAGCCCTAGCTGTCCTGGAACTTGCTCTATAGACCAGGCTGGTCTTAAACTCAGAGATCTATCTGACTGCCTCTGCCTCTCAAAAGCTGGGATTAAAGGCGTGCAAGATTTTTTTAAATTTTTTTTTCCTTTGGTTTTTTTTGAGACAGGGTTTCTCTGTAACTTTGGAGCCTGTCCTGGAACTAGCTCTTGTAGACCAGGCTGGCCTCGAACTCATAGAGATCCGCCTGCCTCTGCCTCCCGAGCGCTGGGATTAAAAGCATGTGCCACCACCGCCCGGCTAAGATTTTATTTTTTAACTATGTGTTTGTATATGTGGGTGTGTACACGTGGATGGAAGTGTAGGTGGAGGCAGAAGAGGATGTCAGATCCTTCAGCTGGAGTTACAGACTGTTATCAGCTGCATGATATGGATGCTGGGAACTCAACTGAGGTCCTCTGCAACAGCACTTAACCACTGAGTCACCTCAACAGCCACCACCACCCCTTTTTTTCTAAAGACAAGGGCTCCAGTTGGGCGTGGCTGGCAGATCTCCGAATTCAAGACCAGCCTGGTCTACAAAGCAAGTTCCAGAACGTCCAGGGCTACAAAGAGAAACCCTGAACCAAATAAGAGAGAGAAGGTCTCGCTATGTAGCCCAACTTGTCCCGTAAGTCACAGTTCTCTTGCCTCTAACTCCTGAGTGCTGGGAGGTGTGTATCAGAAAGCCCGGTGTTTGTGTGCACACACGCATGCACATACACACAGACACACACGTACCAAATGCTATAATCAGACTATTATTTAGAGAGTCTCGAACCCACTGACAATTGCACTGTCAAACCTAAGAATTAAGAATCAGGCTCATCCCACTGAACTCCACCTCCAAAAAGATTCAACAAGCCACATTCCAAACTACGGTACCTAAATTAGGTTAAAGCTCATAGTAACCATTAAACAGACATTATGGCAACCTAGGAAACACAAAGCCCCTCTCTCACCCTCAGATCTCCGCCTTCCTGAAAATGGAGATTCGGGGTCAGATAACCAGTTAGGAATCCTAGCTGGAAATTTCCAGCAAGATACCCAATTCTCTAAGCCCTCGGTTCCTCAAATGGAAAAGAAGGATGGAAAAATGTCTACCGGGCATAAGTGCCATGAGGGGCAGATGAGCCCACGTATGCCCAGCTCAGGACACACGCACAAGACACACACCATCTAGAACCTGTTTCACCCAGTTTGGGCCTCGCAGCAGACTTCTATGGAAGAAAGAAGTCTGAAGATATCAGGGAGGGCACGGTTGTAGCTGTGGTAGGGGTAAGTCTTGGTAGTAGAAGGAAAGAATCTGCTGGAATTTCATGTCCAACACAGTTGCTACATGTACTATAATTATCGCATTTCTGTAAAAATTCAAGGATCTGCATTCTGCTATTTTCATCAAACTGGATGAACTGCAGACACTTGGGAAAAGGGCAAGAAGTTGGGGGTTCTGATTCTTGGGCCCTAGCACCGATGTCCTGGCTAACAACCGAAAACCGCCCCCCCCCATCACTTTGCTGTGGGCCCACAGCATCCCCGGACTTGAAACTTCGGCTCTTCAGCCCCCAACCTTCCCCATTAATGTCCTGTTGGCACCTCAGCCATCCTGTTCTGTCAAGAGCGAACTCTTTTTCTACCCGATTCCCACTCCTGGGGCATGGGGGGGGTGGGGCTTTGTCTCTGTGAAGGACTCCCCCCCCCACACACACACACAATCCAGGCACTTTACAAATACCAGAACCCAAGGGTTTCTAAGCGGGAAAGAAAAACAGTTATGAGTGGCAGAGAGGACCTTCTGCCCGCTGAGGGTAGTATGTGTGTGTGTGTGTGGGGGGGTCGGCTCTGCTTCTTTAGGGTCCCAGACCTGCAAGGGCGCCCCTCTGTCGCCAGAGTCCCAGCACCCAGCAGTCCCCGTAAATTCCCTGCCTGGTTACTGCCCACCCGGCAGGCCTCTGAGGCCAGTGATGGATGCCACGACCGGAAATGCCCTCCTGCTCAGCCGACCCAGACCGCGCCCCCCTTTCCTGCCGCCCCCTCCCCCAGGGCTAGGCCCACAGGCCCCGGATCCCCGGACTCGCGTGGCCGCTGTAACCGACTGGGGCGACCCATCAGCCGGCCATTGTCCTTGGCCCTCGCCGCGGCCCCTCCACATCAAGGCACTGCGAATCCAAAGCGAATATAAAAGAAACGGGGGACCCCACTACCAAGCTCGGACCACCCCCTTTCGGTGGCATCCGCAAAGCATCCGTGCACCCCTAAAGCTCCATACCTAGGGGAGACTGCTCCCCACCACCACCACGGAAGAAAATACCAAGACATCCCCTGGGGGCTGCAGTGGAGACTCAATCTCCCAGGCGGCAGGTGCCCGGCCACACAATAACTTTGAAACTTTGGGGCAGGGGTACAGGGATCTGCACAGGGATCCCCAAAAATAGTTCATGGTAATGGGGGTGCTATTGCTTTATTCTTGCAAAGCCGCCTTTTCAGGTGGCCGGGCCCCGACTTCCCGCGCCTCCTCCGCGCGCGGCCCTGCCCGGCCCTGCCCGGACGCCCCAACCTCGCGCGCCCCAACCTTGCGCGCCACCGGCGACGCGGTGGCTCGGCCTCTGCCCCGCGGGGCTCCACCGCGCCAAAGCACTCACCTCGGCCGGGCTGCGCTCCCCGCGGGCCTGCGCCGAGACCGATAAATGGTATGCTATGACTAGAGGTATGATTACGTTATTATTATTAGTAATAATAAGAGTAAATGCTATTTAATTACGGGCGGCCGCATCCTGCTCCCGGCGCCGCCGCCCGGGCAGCTCGGTCCATGTGGCTCCGGAGCGCTTTACTTTCATTTCCAGCCCCCTCGGCCGGCCGCTCGCGGCAGCACCCGCTGGAGGCTCCGTCTCCCTGCAGCTCTCCCTCCTCGGGTCCTAGAGAGCGCAGCTCCTCCTCGCCTAGTCGCGCCCGGGGTGGGCGGCGCGGGCTGCGCACCTTGGGGGGAAGGGGTGGGGAGTCGGGAAGCCCCCCTTCCCAGTGGACGGTTCATGCCTGGAATTCACCTTGATTTTCTTTTAAAAGTGCCCTTCCTTGTCCGGGCTTTTTTTCTGACAGTTCTGCATTTCTGGAAGGATGCTGGACCAACCCAGCGTCTCTGTTCTCCAATATCCCCCCCCCCCCCCCCCCCCCCCCCCGCCGCTGCCCCCAATCCTAGCTAAAAGCCACACTCGACTTTCCAGGTGCTTCTCCAAGCCCCTAGTGGCTTTGTGCCCTTTTGGTTGATAATCAGAACTCAGTCGATCTCATTTGGCTGAGGTTTCATGTATGGAAAGTTAAAGGGAAAAAAAAATAAGAGCACTTGTTTAAGAAAGCCAGACTGATTTTATTCAAGGAAGGGCCATCATGGTGGGTTTAGGGACCACTGCAGTGGATGCAGAGACGTAGGGCTCATCTCTGAATTCAGCATGAACAATTAGAAATTCCTAAGAGCAAGGCAGGGCCAGCGGACAGAAAACTAAGAAGGGTAAGATGTGATTTCGACTAGCTCTACCTAACAGGATTCCATTTAAATATTTTTAAATTCAAGTTTTGGATATTTTTTGTTTGTTTTAAAATGATTTTAATTTTGTGTGTATGCGTGTTTTGGCTGCAGGTATGTATATGTACCATGCGTGTCCCTGGTGCTTGGCAGAGGCCAGAAGAGGGCGTTGGATCTCCTGAGACTGGAGTTAGAGAGGTTGTGAGCCGCTGTGTGGGTGCCAGGAATATAAGATGGGCCCTCTGGAAGAGCAGCCAGAGCTCACAACTGCTGAGCTGTCTTTTCTTGGAGATAGGTCAGGTACCGGAACATCACCTTGAGGACTGGTAGCGGATGAGGATGAGTGTTCATGGTATTCAGAGACGGATTCTAGTTAAACCCCTGTTCTAGTTTAGCAGGATTCTTGCTAAAATTTGGACAACTGGGCCAGGCAGGGTAGTACAGGCCTTCAATCCCAGCACCGAGGAAGCAAAGGCAGACCAGATCTCTGTGAGGTTGAGGCCAGTCTGGTCTAAATAGCAAATTCCAGGATAGTCAGAACTACATAGAGAGATGCTATCTCAAAAAATAATGATAATAATTTCTTTGGAAAAAATCTAAAAAGTAAAACAAAATTCAGACGATTCAGAGATAAATACAGAAGCCCAGAAGTCCAGACCAAGTTGAAAAGTTCAGGGGAGCCTAAGTAGAATTCTATCATAAAACGTCTCTTTGTTGGGTGGGGATCTCTCTAGAAGCGACTTAAGGTGGCTAAGAGGACCGAGGTAAAAGAGAGGTTAACCAAACAGATCTTCTGTAAGTATCCAAGGTCCTGCCTTAGAACTGGTAACAGGCAGGCTGGATTTGAATCCAGATCTTTGGATTCCAAACCATGTTTCTCCTACACTGTAAGTAGCTGCCCTCTTGATTGCTAGAGGACCCACCCCCAGTCAGCTGCCTCCCTCTTTCTTCTTCTGCATTTTATGCACATGCGTGTGTATGTATATTTAATTTATTGCAGATCATCTGTGAGCCTGGCAGACTTTATCTTTACAAATGTTATCTCTTCCACAAACACTTGTACCAGACATACCCTCGGGAACTATAGCTTTTTTTTTTTTTTTGAGGGAGACAAATTTTAAACACTGAAATACACTATGGCATGTGCTCAAGAGGGACAAGAATCTAGGGCCGTGTTTTCTTATTCAGTTCATAAAAGAATCCTGGAACGTGGGTTTTAGCATACCCATCTCAAGGATGGATAACTAAAGCTCAGAAGTTAAACTGTCCGAGGGGGCAGCTCTCACTCCAGACTTTGTACATCACACATGACCCGGCGGTTTCTAAGAAATGTCTCTTTAGGGCAAATTGGAAAGGGAACAAATGCTCATATGCTTCCTTTTTCTTTCTTTCTTTCTTTTTTTTTTTTTTTTCGAGACAGGGTTTCTCTGTGTAGCTTTTGGAGCCTGTCCTGAAACTTGCTTTGTAGACCAGGCTGACCTCAAACTCACAGAGATCTGCCTGCCTCTGCCTCCCAAGTGCTGAGATTGAAGGCATGCGCCACCACCACCCGGCTCTTTTCCTTTCTTTATGAGACAAGGTTTCTTCTCTGTAAGTCTGACTGTCTTGGGATTTGCTATATAGAGCAGGCTGGCTTCCAGTTGACAGAGGTCCGCCAGCCTCTGCCTCCCGAGTGCTAGGATTAAAGGCGCATCACCATGCCCTGCCTGCTTCTGAATTTTACATCAGCTGTTACAGGGAAGTGGCTGCCTTCTCCCTCCTCACTACCTTGAGATTAGCAAGCAAAAAACAAACAAAAAAATAGACTTTGGTACGACGAGGAGAGACAATCTCAGAAGCAAAGCATAGTCCAATGACTCTCAGATGTCACTGATGAGAAGACAAGCCTTGGGTCACTTGGGATAGACTCGAGATTATGGGCTCAAAGTAGTAACACTCTGACCCTGGCACCCTATGTGTGTGTGCGGGGGAAGTAGGGGATTCTGGGTAATGTGATGAGAATCACCTGGTCAACTTTAGGAAGCGGAAGATTTCCTTCTCTGCCGTTTGTTGACTATCTGACCCCAAGCGATTTTGCAGTGTCAGTTACCTCGTATCTAAAACCAAGATTTTAAAAACTGAACCAGACAGGCAGTGTGCCATACATTTGTCATGGAGGCAGGAAGCAAGAGAATCGGGCATTTAAGGTCAGCCTCAGCTAGCCCAAATTCTAACCGGCAATAAAGACTGAACAAAGTCATTTTCCAAGCCTCCTGTGCGATGTACACTGGCGGATTCCTGACAGCTTACCACATCAGGCACCATGGTTAATAGCGCTCTCGTTTCAGGGACAAGGATGCTGAAGCCAGTTGGATTGCTACATCCTGTCTCAGATGAATTAGTTGGCAAGAGGCCTGAAGATTCTGCCATCCCCAGCTGCTGGTGGAGTACCAGATAGCCTTTAGGGGACGTGTCTGTCAATGAAGGGAGATCTGGCTGGATGCTAGCTTCTCAGGTTTTCAATAGGACATCAGTTTGAGGGTTTTTTTTTTTGTTTTGTTTTTTTTCAAGGCAGGGTTTCTCTGTAGCTTTGGAGCCTGTCCTGGCACTCACTCTGTAGACCAGGCTGGCCTCGAATGCACAGAGATCCAGTTTGATCTGGACTGCCAGAGACACCCCAACCGGAGGTGGGGTGCTTTGAAGACTAGTGACAGGAATCTCGCACCAATACATTGTCCAGTTGTTCAGCTGTGAGCCTATGTCCTCATTTCAAAGCCGAAGTACCATTGACAGCCTCTGCCTGTTTATCCTGAGCAAAGGCATGCATATGCGGAGTCTCCTACCAGCTTAAAAGCCCTAGAAGGTAGGGATTGGTTTTACCCACATTTGGACCAGGAATAGACATAACTGGTTAATGACTAGATCAAGGTCACACGCGTCTAAGGAAGAGGCAGGACATGATCCTGTCTCCGACTGATTACCTGTCCTAAAAGCCCTAACCACTGTACCATGACGGGGCATCTTAATTCTGGATCTGTCACTCGTTCGTTACTCTCAAGGACTCGAGTGAACCTCTGGAGGTGGGACTCCAAGGCTCATGCTCCCAGCCATGAGGAATTTACAAGTATACCACCCATGTATTCTTTTCACCTTCTGCACCGGGCTTAGACCCTGCTGCTTCCTAGGAGAGCGTGAGCTCATGACTACCTTTGTCGAAGTCATGTTCAGGTTCATTCACTCAGTCAACAAGCCTTTGTGGCCAGGTCCCAGGTCTTAGACCTCCCACTAAAGTACTTGACTTTGTGCCACTTAGGGAAGGATCCAGGATATATTCACAAATTTAACCTTAGTTCCTTCTTCCTCATCTGTAAATTGGGCGTGTGGTGGGCTGAATGTGTCCATGTATTGAAACCTCAGTGTGGTGTGAGACCTTCGGGCCATAACCAGGCCATGTGGGTGGAGTCCTCGTGAGCCCTTACAAGAAAAGACACCAGAGGAGAGATGGCTCAGTGGTTAAGAGCACTGACTGCTCTTCCAAAGGTCCTGAGTTCAATTCCCAGCAACCACATGGTGGCTCACAGCCATCTGTAATGAGATCTGGCGCTCTCTTCTGGCCTGCAGGCATACACATAGACAGACTATTGTATACATAATAAATAAATAAAAATTAAAAAAAAAGACACCAGAGAAGATTGCAGGTGAGGGTGCATCTGTCAGCCAGGAAGAGGTTTGTCTGTCTGTACACCAAAAGCCTGATCCTGTGGCACCTGATCCCGCACCTTGAACATTCCGGAGCTAAATAAATGCTTTATGTCACTAACGTCCCCCTACCTATGGTACTTGTTAATACAAGCTGAGTTAACATGGGTAGGGGGTGGGGGGTCATGAGAAATACATTGCTAGATGTTTTTTATCATCGTGCAAACATTACAGAGTGACAGAGCCTACAGCATACCGAGGCGACATGTTATATGCAGTCATGTGTGTTGTTCATTGTTATTGGAAACCTCGTTGTGACTGTTCTTATCCTATAAGGTTCTATGAAGCTTAATTTTTTTTGGGGGGGGGGACAGAGTCACACTATATGGCCTTTCCTAGCCTTGAACTCGGAGACCTAAGTGCTACAATTAAAAGCATGTACCATCACACCCAGCTCATCGATTGCTTTTATATATTTTTATATTTTTATTGTGGTTTGGGGGGATTAAAAACAGAACGAAGCAGGGCCTTATGAACGTTAGTCTTATCCTGTCACGCAACTCAACTCTCAGTCCCTATGACGGCGAATTATCTGTGTGACATGAATGGGCTGCAGCGTGCCAGACAGCAGACAAGCAAATGATGCCAAACATTATTCTGGGCATCTCTGTGAGGATGTTTTCTAGATGAGGTTAGCTTTTCAGTTGACAGCCTGAGGAAAGCAGATTGCCCTGTGGAAGGGGAATGGGCTGCAGCCAATCAGTGGGAGGTCTAAACCCTATGTCTTCAAGCTGGGACATTGGATTTTGTCTTCTACCTTTGTCCAGCCGAAACGTGACATCTCCCCTGAACCTCCTCACCGCACTGGAA